ATCCAACACTTCAACTTTCATTGAAGAAGCACATAATGAGTATTCCATTCGCCATCAAGAATGAAAAATTAACATTTTATAATATGTAAATTATCTATTACAAGTTTGTATTTTGAGACTTTAGAAATTTATATCAAATTTTCTATATTAAATTTAGAGTTCAATTGGATTGAAAACCCCTACATTAAATTTCATATATCATATTTCTAGTTAAACCGTAACTGACCAACCTATACTAAATTTAATATAGCAAATTTCTAGTTAAACTAAAATTGTAAACAAACCACATTTTTCAACAAAATTGAAATAAAATTATTCAAATTTAATCATAATCTTCGTACTTCAATTGAAATGAAGAAGGTATACATAATGAGAAAATTTTCACCTTTAGGAGGAGTTGGAGTTCATTGACATCAAAGTTCATCGACATCAGAGCTCATCGGCGTTAGAGAGGTTAGACGACATCAGAGTTCGTCGTCATTAATGAGAATTGAGGGCTAGAGAGAAAACTAAAGGACGTGATGCTCGGTGTTGGGGTGAATCGTTAGATAGAAATTTTAGGGAGGAGAGTTCGGTTTGCTGGGTTAGAGAGAATAAGAGAGAAATTTGAGGGAGGAAGAATGGAGGTAGAAGATAATCGAGGAAGATTTAAGGGAGGATTGGAGGTTGGAAGAATGAGAGAGAAATTAGAGAGAGGGAAAGACCGAACTAAGGGTGAGAGAGACCGAATTGAGGGACAGAGGTGGCTATGCCCAAATATTACGATACCGGCACACATATACACCAAAGACATTCATAAGATTATTAGTCCCACGTATTTGTCAAAATTAGCATTTCTTTCTGCTAAAAATACGAGATTATCAGTCTCGTATATTTTAAACATGATAATTTGCAAAATCGTTCTTTTTTGACCAGTCTTAATGATGTGGCCAAAAGAAATCGACTTTGCTAATTATTTTGTAAATATGTCAAGTTTGTTAATATTTTTTCAAAAATGGTCTTTTTTAAAAAATCCTCTAATATCTAAGTAACGCTAACATTTTTCATAGTTATAAAAATTCAAAATTATAAGGAAAAATTGCTTCAAGACCCAAAAACCCAAAAGGCAATGTGCCACAACCCCTCATACTTTTTAAAATATGCTGCAACCCCCAAAATTTTTAAAAAAATATGCCCAAACCCCTCCAGCTCATGACAGATCATGATTATCTTAATTTTTTTATGTTTTTTACCCCAAAACCTAATTTTATCCTTCCCCAAAATTACTGTCATCTCCTCCAAAACCTAACTTCTTCTTCCTCCTCTTCCACCTCCGTCTCCTTCCTCCCTCCTTCCTCGATGCCCCTAACATGTCCCCTTCCCACCCTCTTCTCTATCATAACCCCCTAGGTTTCGAAACCCTAACGCTGATTGTATTCGCTTTAGGGTTTTAATTCAGCATCATAAAAGTACGTGAAGCAGGTCACTGGCCGGCACAACGACATGGAGCTCTATTTGGTGGTGCAAAGGGGGATCTCGCTGCTATTAGGGGATTTTAGGGGAGGTTGATGCTCAGATGACGAGGACCAGGATTGAGTTTAACGCAGAGGTGACAACCATCAGGTCAGCGATGGTGAATGAGTTGAATGAGATGGGGGCGATGGCGTTGTTCATTGCGCAGAGAAGGGATATTTGGATATTGTGGTGGAGTTGTTGAGGTACACGGATAGAGAGAGTTTGGCGAGGAGGAATGGGTCAGGGTTTGATTCGTTGCATGTGGCTGCGAGAGAGGGGCATCGAGGTATTCATGAAAGAAAAAACTTCGATTAATTGATTGATTGTATGCTATTGATTTGCTAAAATGGTTTGGAAATAAATTATGTGATTGAGTTTATGTCAATATATTTGATATTGTTGTTGGATGTGAAAAGGAAAGGGAGGTTTTTGATACCTGATCTCATCTTGAGCTTGGTGATTGCTTGCTTTAGTGATGGGATTGCTTTTGTGATGAAACATGGTAAATCTGGTGCTGATATAATCTAGTTTATATATCATACCCTGGTTACAGTTCAAATATATAGCTAAGAATTTTAGGTCATATACACGTTAAACGAAAACAGTTAGTTAACAGATTACAAATAACAGTTAACATATAATGGATTATAGTTAACAGTTTATAAGTAACAGTTAACATATAATAAATTATAGTTAACAATTTACAAATAACCGTTAACATATAATAGATTATAGTTAACAGTTTATAAATAACAGTTGTTGAGGTTTAATATCACACAGCTAAATAAAGTCGCGGAGTTTGCAAGGGGTCGCTTTCTTCTTCGACTTTATGCCTGATTCGGGAGTTAAGATGATTGAGCAATCTGCACACAAAGAGTCATAAGAGGGCGAGAATAAATTCCCTCATGGTACCTCCGATGATCAAGTCAGTCGATGAACTTGAGTTTAAGGGGAATCACAGAACTGTGTGTTCTTGGGGGTTTTTAGATTGCGAACCTTTAGCTATAATGAATAGCCGCTATATTTATGGGAGATGCCGATGGCAGGTTGGTCACTCCATGAGTATACAGTAAGATGGTAGTGAGGTGGTGATGAGGAGTGACTGGGAAAATAAATCATCATTCGCTCCACATGTGTTGGTTTGTGAGTGACGGGAGATCACTTCGGTGGCATTGGGAGCCAACAGCCGACAAATCTTCAAGACAGTTGAGGAGTGACACTTAATGATGATCGTCAAAGATTAAACAATGTTGAGAAGTGACACCTATGCTGACAGATTTGAGATAAGGGCAATCCTTTAGTTTCGTCGAGAAGCAATGCTCATAGGATCATATCTTCGAGTTGCTGACTTTCGTGTCGACCAACAGCGCCTTTCGCATCGACTCAGGAGTTTTGGCATGTTTGACTGGTGGGAATGTTGTCTCATCTTAGCTAATAACCGTCTTTCGAGTCGACATAAAGAAGTCGACTCGTCTGGGAGGTCAGGATCTCTCGTGTCGACTGTCACCACTTCTCCCGCTAACGTTAGGGTGTCAGCTTTTTAGGCTGATCGAGATGCTGACCCATCAAGTCATATATTCATGGAATAGATATGTCCCATAACAACAGTTAACAGATAATGTTTAATAGTTAATAGGATAATGGTGTTAGTTAACAGCTTATATATAACAGTTAACAAATAATGAATTATAGTTAACAGTTTACTAAATATAGTTACCAATTTACCCATTAAGGTAAACATGTTATCATGTTAAATGAGAACGTTCACACATAAGCGTGATATGGAACCGCTGCATTTTACATTTTACTTTAAAAAACACAGTTAACATATTAATACGACAACAAATTTGTACAACGTTTATATATCACACCCTAGTTACAGTTCATATATGTTATCAATCTACTCATTAAGGTGTGATATATAAACATTGTACAAATTTACTATCGCATTAATATGTTAACTGTGTTTTTTAAAAATTAAAATGTAAAATGTAGCGGTTCCATATCATGCTTATATGTGAACGTTCCCATTTAACATGTTAACATGTTAACCTTAATGGGTAAATTGTTAACTATATTTAGTAAACCGTTAACTATAATTCATTATCTATTAACTGTTATATATAATCTGTTAACTAACACCATTATCCTGTTAACTATTAACATTATCTGTTAACTATTATTTATAAACTGTTAACTATAGTCTATTATATATTAACTGTTATTTATAAACTGTTAACTATAATCTATTATATGTTAACTGTTACTTGTAAACTGTTAACTATAATCAATTATCTGTTAACTGTTATTTGTAATCTGTTTAATGTGTATATGACCTGAAATTCTTAGCTATATATTTGAACTGTAACCAGGGTGTGATATACAAACTAGATTATATCAACACCAAATTTACCATATTTCATCACAAAAGCAATTCCATCACAAAAACAAGCAATCATCAAGCTCAAGATGAGATCATGTATCAAAAACCTCCCTTTCCTTCTCACATCCAACAACAATATCAAATATCTCGACATAAACTCAATCACATAATTTATTTCCAAACCATTTTAGCAAATCAATAGCATACAATCAATCAATTAATCGAAGTTCTTTCTTTCATGAATACCTCGATGCCCCTCTCTCGCAGCCACATGCAACGAATCAAACCCTGACCTATTCCTCCTCGCCAAACTCTCTCTATCCGTGTACCTCAACAACTCCACCACAATATCCAAATACCCCTTCTCCGCGCAATGAACAACGCCATCGCCCCCATCTCATTCAAATCATTCACCATCGCCGACCTGATGGTCGCAAGCTCTGCGTCAAACACAACCCCGGTCCCCGTCATCTAAGCATCAACCTCCCCTAAAATCACCCTAACATCAGCGAGATCCTCCTTTGCACCGCCAAATGGAGCTCCGTGTCGTTGTGCTGGCCGGTGACCTGCTTCACATACTTTTATGATGTTGAATTAAAACCCTAAAGCGAATGCAATCAGCGTTTGGATTTGGAAACCTGGTGGTGGTGGTGGTGGTTGGGGGGGGGGGGAAGGGGACATGTTAGGGGCGTCGAGGAAGGAGGGAGGAAGGATACAGAGGAGGTAGAGGAGGAAGAAGAAGTTGGGTTTTGGGGGAGATGACAGTGATTTTGGGGAGAGGTAAAAATTGAGTTTTGGGGTAAAAATATAAAAATTGAGATAATCATAAGCTGTCATGAGCTGGAGGGGTTTGGGCACATTTTTTTAAATTTAGAGGCTGCAACACATTTTGAAAAGTATGAGGGGTTGAGGCACATTGCCTTTTGGGTTTTGGGGCCTTGAAGCAAATTTTCCAAATTATAAACACTGATCGATTATATTTTAATTCTGTCCCTGGAATCCTGGATTCGGCCCATCCGGCCTAATCCAGGCCACCAACACGAGTCTCTGCATGCGGACAGAAAAGGAAATAAAAAGAGAGAATACAAAAGAGAAAAGAATCGCTTTGAGCGTGGGCGCCACTCACGATGAAACACGACAAAGGGCCTTGCTGATCGCTGAAATTACACCTCTACCCTCCTCCTTCTCCTTCATCAAAACCCTCCCTCCCCTCTCCTCTCAAACTTCCCTCCATAATCTCCATCAAAATTCCCCTACCCCTTTCTCCATGGATTTTATCTGCCCTAAAAATCCCAAGGTTAAGATACAGTCTTTCTGAGAATATTACATCTCCAATACTTTGCTAACTTTTGTAATTCCTTTGTTTTTTGTTTCAGATTTGGGACGGAAATGGCTTCACTCCGTGTTTTGAGAATATATATCCTTATTTCCTTTTTTTTTTCTTTGGGAATTTCTAGTGGTTTCAGCTCATGCATCGTATAATGTAATCCTTGACGTTATGTTGATTACGGTGTTTGGTTTCGGAGCGAATTTTGTCACTATAGCTGCTGTTCTTGGTCTTGCAATCAGTAAGAGGAATGCTGAAAGAAGTCGGGTAATTTTTATGACTAAATTCACTTGTTAATTTATTTTAGGGTTAATTTCACAAACCCCCCTAAACTTTGGGGGTTGTTGCACATAACCCCTTAACTTTGTTCATCTCACATAACCCCCTTCATGTAATTTGCAAATAACTAAAATGTTTTTGAGAGAAAAAAAAAATCTCAAACTTTGTCACTTGTCGTGTACACACAACATACTTTCTCCTCAAAATTTTGAGCATTTTCTCTCTAGAAACCCTCCCCAAAATTTTGAGTTTTCTTTTTCTCTCAAGAGCATTTTAGTTATTTGCAATTTACAAGCAGGGAGTCTATGTAAGATAAGGTAAAGTTTAGGGGGGTTTTGTGAGGCACGGGCACCTCATAGTTCGGGGGTGTTAAGTTAGATAAACAAAGTTCAGTGGGGTTATGTGCAACACCTCCCAAAGTTCAGGGGGGTTTTGTGAGATTAACCCATTTATTTAGCGCTGAACAGAAACAGAACTGTTAAATGTTTGGTTGTTACTTTTTTGAGATAACAAGCAAGAATTGAGTTGTTTAGTAGCCTAGTTGCTTTTTTAAATTCTTTTTGGTTTGTTACTTTTCCCCTTAACTAATTATATTAATATCGAGATTTTACATTTTGAAGGTTAATACCCTATAACGAATTCAATCACAATATACTCTTTATTGATCTATTCATACATTTCGCTTCTTAAATGAGTTACTAATGTTGTTGGAAGCATGATCAGAGTCAAAATGTCGTACTATAGTTTAGAGTCTGCTGAAAAACATCAAATCCATGGTGAACCTTGCATCTACAAGAATATGAGAAACTATAACAGAATTTTATTAAATCAAGTCTCTTTATATGGTCACAAGAATCCTTTGATTAAGAAAAACAAAATTTTTATCCAAATTAAACAAAGGAACCAAACTGAATAACTTTCCAGATTTCCTTACAATGCAAGGTTGGCAAAGTATCCTAATTGACTAATAAAAGTTATCAAAATTAGTACACAAAATATAAAATTGAATATTTTATTCTGCTTCACTGTCCTCTCTGTCTCCTTCACTGTCCTCTTGATCTCCTGGTGCCCCATGAACATCACATTCTCAAAATCCCACTTTAGGCAAGTGTCAAATAGATGTACCATTTGCCCACCCCCCATAACAAGTGGTTGTTGTGGTTTAGAGGGGTTTGTTGTGCAATCTTCTGATTGAAGGATGAGCATCACTTCTTTTTTGCTTACATAATTATCACCAGCTGCATTTTGATTGCCTAGAACAATGAGATTATGAGTGTTAGAGTATAAAATTACAATCCTCAACCCTGAACACAACATCCAAGTTTTGCTACAGTATCAGCGTTCTTTTGAGGATTTGAAAATTTTGACACCATTACCTGCTACCAGGTTTCGGCCCATAAAAAGGCTCTCAACTTATGGGGGCGTCTTAGATAAAAAATTACAACCCTCAATCTTCACCAGAGCTTTAGAGTTTTGGTGTAGTGGTGTAGTGGAAGGAACATTTGACATGGTACTTGATTGACCTAGGTTCAAGTCCCATTGGACACAAATCAAACTATGGGTTTGGTGCCGTGGTAGGGTCCTTTGACAGTTAGATATTACAGTTGTGATCTTCATCAACTTCAGTTCTAGGAATGTCTTGATGTTATTGCTTTGTTCATAAAAACTTCTTTCTAACTGGTTCTTTATTCACTCAACTAGATTTATTGTCTCTCTCTATCAGTATGTACAGGAGATAAGGACTGCAATCTTTGACATCTAACCCTTGTTTCACTTCTTTTAGTTGTATTGTTGTAAAATTGTTAATGTTGCAACCACTTGATGCATGAACGATTAGGGCTCAGTATGCTAATTTCTTGCATGTATACCATTTAAGTCGTATCAAAATTGCGGAGTTGATTGTTTGAATTGGCGGCATGACTTGTAGTTCCAGATTTGGTATGACTAAGCTAGTTAGCCCTTAAGTATTAAAACGCTCCCCATTCACATATGCACGCACATATTTTATATAATATCTATGTGTGTGTGTGTGTACGGGATACGAGTTGCCATCTCATTTTTGCAAAATGAGTTACCAATATAAATTTGTGAGACGCTCTTGTTTTGATGTGATTAGCAGGGTGGGAAACATAACTCCACTATTCCTTGGTAGCTTATTTATCAAATCTTATTTATCAAATGCAGTTGCCACATACCCATTTTATTTTCACCCCCCCTCTCCTTCTCCCCCCCCCCCCCCCCAAAAAAAAAAAAAAAAAAAAAAACCCCACCGAAACACAGGTATGGCGAAATACTTCAGTTCCAATATACATTTCACCTAAAGTGGCTTCCCATACCCTACAAAACATAAGAGTTATGGTATTGAGATTTTTCTTCTTACTTATTTCAAGTATTTTTATGTTTGATTTACTTTTTCCATGGGTTAATAGTTTTTATTATTATTAGTTCATTACTCGTTTACATTTATTCCGAGTGTAGGCTTTAGACTCAGTTCAATTGGATTTTTCCGCTTTAGGTGCTCTCTGTATGTTGTTAGTGTTAATATTTTTATAGTTGATTTTTTTTACCATGCTATTTGATGCTTTTTTGTGCATTAGCGCCTGCATTTTTTTGGACATTCTATGTGTATTGTGTTAATAAGTTTCTTGTTTTTTCTCTACTTCTTCT